ACAATTATTATGATTTAAAATTAAATTAAATGTATTCAATTCAACAAATTAAAACACTTTTCAACAATATCGCATAATCAGAAATTTTATCATCCACTTTAACGTTATATGTAAATTGTGTTAAAAAAAAATTCAATTGAAATTGAATTAAAAAATAATTTATGTAAATATATATTAGACAGAATTTGCTCTTACATCGCTAACATTCATTACATCACGCATTATTATATCGCGAAGTTCGTTTCAAAAAAAAAATATATATATATATATACATATTGAAATCGAGTTTACGTATAAATTTCATTGATTATTTCATGATTTTAAACGTTTTCGAAATATTTCATATGAGCCATTATATATAGCTATTTTTATTGATTAGATTATGAAAAGACGAATATGTTGTAAAAATGAGCAATAGACATTGTAAATATGTAATTAATAATATTAATGAAAGCTTGCTAATACTTTGACATAATGACTGCGAATTTGTTAAAAAATTTTTCAATAATTCTTTCTCGAGGCTGTTTCCATCTCATTTCTAAACTTTAATACAAACTCATGGCTACAATGAAATGACTCATTAAACATTCATTACATAAATACATACACTCCAAAAAGAAAAGTGACCAAGCTCGTATTCCATTCCAATTGCTATATATTGCTCTAAAAATGCAAAGTTAATGCTTGCAAATCACCAATGCAATTATTCTCTTTGATATAAATATGCGATAAAGTCAACGACATACGCGCATCTCGAGTGACATATTCATCGCTAAACCCAATTTACAATCAACCAACAGCACAGATTCGAAAACCCGTTACCGCCCATATTAAAATCCTAACTCCAACTCTGCCAATTAATAAAAGTTCGTATCCACGAATTATTAGCCCTTATCTTAAACTTAAGGTTTTTAATAGAAAAATTAAAAAAAAAAAAAATATCCGTAAGAGGTTCGGAAGCAATTAATTACAGAGAGATAAAAATCCTGAATACGTTGATCGAATATACATGCACACAAGTAAATTTATATCTCGTCTACCGTCCTCCTTATGGATTTTCATGCTCAAGAAGTAGTTGCAGTCACACACTTGAGGGCGACTCTTTCGATTCTCGTTTTTATTCATAAAATGAACTCGATGCGGAATCAAGTCAAGCACAGTTGTTACAACGTTAAATGTACATTATTAAAGTATTGATCGGACACACACTCCATACGATAGATTTATTTCAAATTATAATCAATTAGTGTTCTAATTTGTTTGCTAGAATTTTGTGAAATCTACGAATACGAGCGACCGCCTATCCGCGGATGTTATCAAATAATCAAAAGAATAGAAAATATTCGACACAATTAGTCATTAGCATTTCCTCCCGCTAGTTTGTCATTTTTTTTTTTTTTTTTTTTTTTTTTTTTTTTTTTTTTTTTTTTTTTTTTTTTATAATTAAATACCAAGTTTCTACGTATTTGCTACTACTCGTCTTAAAACTATATTATATGTAACCCGATACATAAATATTTATACTAATAAAACATATATTAAAACGAAATTTTAATTATTCCATTATACTTACAATTTATTGATAATTAATAATTAATTTTTGCTTCTATTGCGTTTCATTAAAATTTATCATCATTTCTTTTATTTTTTTTTTTTTTTTTTTTTTTTTTTTTTTTTTTTTTTTTTTTTTTTTTTTCTTTATAGATAACAAGAGATAGTATTTTGAAATATTAAGCAAATTAGTCTTCGCATAATTTATAATTTAAGTAAGTTTAAATGCCAAAGTAAGATTAACGTTGATAGCATTACATTCCTAAGCGTATATATCAAACATTAAACAGATTTTAAAACTTTTCTGAGTTCACGCTCTAAAATCTCATAATCTTTTGTTATTTTAATTCAATAATTTTAATAGTATATAAAAAATATTTAATAGTCGTAAGCTATTTATATCGGCAAAAAATGTTCACAACTAATTAAAAATAAAATTCATCTTCCATATTTTGATTACAAAGTAATTTGTAATTAAGTAGCGAAAAGTTATATATATCTAGAAATAGAAGTAATAAATAATTATACTTGTATAATATCTATGTAATACAACGATATTTTTTACCAAATGGTCTAATAAAATTCTAAAGAAATTTTTCATCACTTTTAGTCATGCTGTATCTATTATTTATAAAATAATTTATTTTTTGCCATCATAATATCACTAACTTTTCAAATAAATAATTATCGTTAATAATTTAATAAACAAGTTATTAAGTAAAATATTAAGAGTTGGATAGATTAACTAATTTTTATATTATATTAAGGTGTACGTACGTGCGTGCGTGCGTGCGTGTTTGTGTGAATTATTGTAGCGTATGCTAAGAGTTCAAATAATTTTTTTTTTCAATATTTTAAATAATTTTGCAGTAAAATTCATTGGTACTGTTATTGCGAATAAAACTGAAAATATTTCGATATGTTCAGAAAAGAAATAACAGATTTATGTAAATACGATACGAACGAAAAATTTAAATTTATTCAAAATATAGATTTCTTATGAGAGTTGTTCGATAAAAGACAAGAATAAATTTTTTTCAATATCGTTGAAAGTTACTAATACTATGTATTAGAATGTATTGTTAATAATTTCTTTAATAAAATTAAGCTATCGCAACGAGTTGCCGTAATAATAGTAATTACAAGAAAAAATCACAAATACTAATCCCAGGACATTTTTTACAATTGCTATATTTGACTCAGTGTCATTTATGAAGTAGTAAGTTCGATTTTACAGTTTATATTAATTAAGTTAAAAAATATTTATGCCTAATATGTTATTGTTGTCGTATTGTTGAAACAAATGTTTTTATTAATAATTACATTTGTACTACCAACAACATGGAGATGGATGTAAACATAAATATCAGATATACTAGGTAGTAAGAAGCCACAGGGTCGAGAACAATTTATAATTGACTTTTTGCTACGAAACTAACATATGTATTTCCTTAATTAGAAAAAGTTAAAAAAAAAAAAAAAAAAACAGTGACACCCACGTATTCGACTCACCGATATTAATAAAGTCAATCGATATCAACCGTTATCATTGGTAATGAATATCGAGGTCGTGAAAATGTTAAATTTCGCAGCGAATGAGCTATTCCAAATTTTGCTCATTGAAGAAAAAAAGCGACAACGCCAATTCCTTGAATTGCCCCCTGCCCATCGCCCCCACCCCACCCCCCTCCCCCAACACAGACACACTCACTCGCCCTGACGACATGTTTAAATAATAGCAATAGGAAAATTGTCTCCTGGCCTGCGAGTGCCTGTAATAATAATAATGTAGGCGCGCGCGTACATTTTAACCTGTAGTAGGAAAAAGTGGGTCACGGTGGTATGTTGTGCTCGGAGACGATGCCACTACTCGGTGCTCCACACCAGCTAGTAGGTATCCAGTGCGCACGCTTTGCTTATCGATCGAGGCTCCGATCTACTCGCGCCTCGCTCCCTCTCACGCTCACGCGGGCTCATCTGAAGCGCGCGCGCGGGGAAGAGCAAATATAACGCAGCATGCGCGTCCACACGATGGCTCACTCACACAGGAATCGTGCGATTTTGAAATTTATAACGTACTAAGCGAGATTCGAATGAGATTGAGGTTAGGGAGAGAATTTTCATTCCTGGCTCATTTTACGCAGTCGAACGCTCACGGCGAATAACTCGTACTTGCACGCAGCTGATGCTTCATTACAGTTATTCGTCATTTTTTTACAATACCAAATTTATACAACAGTTACTGCCTGTTAAACGTAATATGTATTCCCCCGTCCTCGCCACGCCAACTATCTCGTACGCATGCGTGCAGGCATACAAATTCAAGATTACCTCCTTATGTGTGAGTAAAGCGGTTACACAGGCGCGCAGAAGTGCAAAAGAGAGGTAACGAAATAAGAGAGAGGAGAGCCTGCGAGACAAAGTGAGAGGGAGATAATATAAGAGCGCGAGCGAGAATTCAACCGTCTTTCTACGATTATCGTGCATGTCTCTCCTAGCACATTTGAAATAATGAGGGAAGCGCGCGAGGGGGGAAGAGAAAGAGAGAGAGAGAGAGAATGTGTGTGCGTAATCATACGCTGGGACCATAAACGAAAAGACTGCGAATGCTTGGATTCTGTACATTGTCGGCCTCAGTCTGTCCTATGGATTTAGAGGCGTCGCACAAATCTTTCTCCCTCTCGCTCTTCCATCTCCTTCGCAGCCTCATTCTCCCACTCACTCCCTCACTCCCTCACTCCCTCACGCGCTCTCTCACTCTCTCTCTCTCTCTCTCTCTCTCTCTCCCTCGTACCCCCTCTCAAGCTGTCACTGGCTCTGTCTCTGTCTCTGTGTCTCTGTTTCGGAACGACGGATAGGAGGCAGTGGAGGTAGTATTCGGCTACTCGGCGCGAGCCGTTGTAAAAGAGGGAAGGTAGTGAAAAAAAACGTACGGCCGTGCGCACACGTTCTCAGTGAGAGAGGAGTGGCGCGGCAGAAACTTTTTCATTCGGTTTGTGAATCCCAGCGAGGTTCATTAAGCGCACAAAAATGCGTTGAAACGTGAATCTCTCGTCGATCATTAATTGTGGAAGAAGGCGATCGGTCGTGGGAGGCCAAGAACGCAGCGTTTGTGCGGAAACTCTTATGCCCTTAAAAAGAAAGGGGCGAAAATTTGAAAAAAGTGCGATCCTCCGGGACACGGGCGAAAACGGCCATTTTGCGCCCCTGTCCCCTACCCCGTAATTTATATATATATATATATATAGTGTCTATATATGTATGTATATACATGAACACGCGCGTGTACATTAGTAGAATACGCGTTGTGTAGTTGACGTGTAAAGCGGTGTATAACAATATAGCACTTGATAAGGTGTCGTCGTCGTCGTCGTCGTCGTCGTCGTCGTCGTCGTCGCCGCCGTCGTCGTCGTCGTCGTCGTCGTCGCCATCGTCGTCGCCGCCGCCGTCGTCGTCGTCGTCGTCGTCGTCGCCGCCGTCGACGTCGCCGCTGTTGCTCTTACTCCCCTACACCCAGGTCTTCTGAAAAACTGCATGCGATTCGCAAGGACGATCGCGTAGGAGGAGACACAGTGTTTCTCCTGCCTTTTTTTGCTCACCGGTTATTGCACATCCAATTACTGAGGAAAGATGGCGGGGAACACAGGAATGGAGCAGCTGATCCCGATCGTGAACAAGCTCCAGGATGCCTTCACGCAGCTTGGGGTAACAATGAATTTGGATTTGCCGCAGATCGCTGTTGTCGGTGGTCAAAGTGCTGGCAAATCCTCTGTTCTTGAGAACTTTGTTGGGAAGTAAGTGCAATCGATGATTTTCAGTTTTTTTTTTCTAATCCAAGTAATGTGTATCGTAGAAAGACTTATGATTTCAACAGAAGAATCAGAACTGGTACCTTATTAGTATCGAATGACAAATTCATAATATTAAATGGAATATTTTTACTTGACAAAATCTAAAACAGGAATTGGGCTAATCAATAATGTTTGCTACCCAAGAACGATTATTTTTTAAATTAATAAAGCACATTCATTTTCAAATAAATTTTGTTGATATGCAATTAGTCATTGTTTCAAGCCTTAAATATTAAGATGGTTTTTATATGAATACAATTGATATTTAAAAATTTATTTTTCATTCATCGTTCAAAATGTACGCAGATTTTCGAAGGAAATTAAATAATTGATGTAGACACGCTATTTATTTCATCGATTATCACACAATAATGTAAATTCACTCATCAGAATTCATGATTTTATTATATAATGTAATAAATACAAGTAAGTAGCTTAGTTAATTTTAAGTAGATATTTTGTAAATTTTTTTCGACCGAAGTGAATAAATTTTCTAATATATATTGTTATTAATTGAACATATTAGAACATAAAAAAATATATATTTACATAAAATATATTCCATACGTAGTAATTATTTTAGCTTTAAATATAACTTAAAAGCTGATGCTTAATATTTTATTATTCGACGATACAGATTTATAAGATATTTATAACTTTCATAAAATTAAAATATAAAATATAGATATCTTTAACTGAAAGTTTAATTCGTTTTATCTGTATTGATATCGTCTGTATTCTGTACTGTATATTTTCAATACTGTGTTTTCACAATACATGTGCTTATATAGAGTAGTTATAAATTTTATAAATATTTTGTACATATACTCAAGTGAGATTTCTTTATATCAATAATACACAATTTTTATGTAAAAATGATTAAATAACTATTTAATTTGTATAACACTATAATTTAATTCCAATATTTAACTTCAAAATTGTCTACAACGTATTAGCAAATAATTTTTAAGAATAGCCTATTATATAATTTGTTAAAATAAGAGGAATTTAATTGTAAACAAAAGAAACATTTATTTTAATTATGTTGATAAAAATGTTCTTCCATTCATTATCGACAAAATAAATAATACACTGCAAATATCTCGGTATCATATTGCTATGAATTTTTTATTTTACAAACTTTCTGATTCATTCTATATGTAAATCTTTTGTTCTGTTATAAAATGTCTTGTAATATTAAACGTTATATAGTAATTTTAATGATATTTAATTTTTATATTTGTTTTAATGAATTTCAATTATTAATACAAGCATATTTATAAATTAATATTTTATTTAGTTATTTAATTAAAAATACACGATACTTATAATCATACAAAGAACAAAGACTTTATTAAAATTTATTTCTTAAAGAAAGAAGAATACACGTGCATAGCTCAGTAGTGAATGGCATCAATTGATCGCAATATCTTATGGCAGAGATCAGTTGCAAGTTAATGAGGCGTCAGTTATTTAAGGCATCCTTCTGATGAAAATAAACTGACGACATTATGCTTTTATACCTGTTCTTCAGATTTATAGTTTATAAATTCTATTATTTTAATTAAAGTGAAATTTAAAAATAAATACCTATGCAGTTAATGTTTCAAAAGATTTGTAATCTATGTACATCAGCACGGCTTGTATGTTAAGCAGTGAGAATTATTTTCATTCTAAAATTAGGTTTGATGTATACATTTTGATTTTTAGACAAGAATACATACATGAGAAATACATTTTCTGGTAATGTGTATTTTTTTTTATTTAATTGTATTTAATGATTTGATTAGTTGATAAAATTTTTAGTCCTTAACTTATAACAAAAATATCTGCCATTAATAGGTATTATATAAAATACATATCAAAATACCAAATTAAACTATATGCCTAATGGATAGGTATAGTAGATAGTTAAGATTATTTTTTAAATAATAACTTTTATTCTTTAAAAAGTTATTAAATTTTCATTCAGGAATCAGATAGATACATAGTTTATTCTCAAATTAACATAAAGGCATAAACATGAATATATTATGAAATAATAATAAATTATTATTGGTTTTATAAAGTTGGCAATTACACAACAAAACTATTCTAAAAAAAAAAAAAAAAAAAAAAAAAAAAAAAAAAAATGAAAAGAGAATACATCGAGTAACACATAATTTTGTAATAATTTTAAACCAAAACAATGTAATCTAAAGGTGAATTATTATACTTGTTTAAAAATTCGATTATTATTTCATACATACGCCTTATATATATATATATATATATATATATATATATAAATACCTTTCTAAAAGGTTTTGATACAGCATCTTAAATATTTATTTATTACTTCATTATTAGAAAAGGATGTTTGACCTCTTGAACTCGAGAAATTTAGTGACACTGTGCTGCTTTTCGTCCATTGTTTTTGCCATCATCTTTTAAGATCTCTCACTTCAACTATTGTATTTGATGTTGCCATTTAGGATAGAAAGCAGAAATGCGCGCTCAAGTCGCAAGGACTATTTCGTGCACTTTTTTTTTTTTAATGGCGAACCCCTCTCCAGAATAAAATACCAAAATCAACGCCTTATCAATAAAAAAATAGAACTTCAAAAAAAAGCTCCAATCAAAAAGCAATTAATTAATACTTCATTTAATTTACGAAACGCATTACTACTTTTTTAAGCTACGTAGAAAACTTTAAAATAGATATTGCCGCCATGTAACTTCATGAATAAAACGATTCGAGAAATGATAATAGATTGAGAAATTGTTCTTTCGTTTACAGGGATTTTTTGCCGAGAGGATCAGGAATTGTAACCAGAAGACCGCTTGTACTGCAATTGATCAACAGCATGAGTGGTAATTATCATTTCATGTATTTAGAAAAACTTATAAATTTGATTTTTTAATATTACTTAAGAAAAGTGACATTACATTGTAACTATGTTTAAATTTATTGATACCGATGAATTAGTTGGTCTCCTTTTAACATTTACATTCTAAATAAAGACTGATACGTAAGGTAAGGAAATACATTTTACAGATTATGTTTTTCAATTGAATGAGTATTTACTTAACTCACAATTGCGTACAATTCCTTCAATACACCGTATGAAAATTTGAGTACATATTATCTCAGGTTATAAGAAAACAAATATTTAATATGGAAGAAAATATTGCTGAAATTCTTTTTATTACAATTGTCTATGATAATAATATAACAATTGTTTTCAGAATAATAAACAAAAGTATTTCCATTGCAATATATTTTCACATCAATGTATTATATATATATATATATATATATATATACTTATGATCGGATAAACATTTAATAAATTTTATTATCAAGTACGTTTATAATATTTATTTAAATATAACCTTAAAAATTAAGCAAGTATAACCTATAAATCTAAAATCTTCGATCTTAAAATAAATGAACATTTGAATTTTTGCATAATTAATATTGATAAAAATAATTTTGTAAGATATGAAATTTGTCAATGCTAAAAATTAATAGAACGAAACAATAGTTTAAATTTAATTAAAAAAAAATGAATCTGATTAATTTTTTTATATTAAAGATATTTTGCAATTTTCTATTTTTATCGTTGTCATATTTTGTACTTGCCTAGGTGGATAATAATTAAATGATGAACTTTATAAATTAAATGCAAAAATAACATATGTATAATTGTATTCACATAAAATTTATGATAAACATTTTTCTTTTCTGAAAATTTATTTATTCAAAATAAAAAAAAAAACATGATTTAAAGTATGGATTATTTTTTAAAAGAAAATATTAAATTTGTTAAGTATATAATTCTTTCATAACATTATACTAACATTATTAGTATACATTTAAAATTTTCTAAACATTCCTTCAACATCTTATGAAATTTAAGAAAGATATTTTCAAAAAATATTTTTAAGTTTAACTTAATTAATTGGTGATTCAAATATTACAAATGTGATTTTTAAATCAATGTATAAAAGTATAGTTAGTTTTTTAAATATTTTTTAAAGAATCTTGCGAATCTTATATATTGAATGACAATAATAACGTAATATTAAAATTACACCTTTTCCAAAAAAAAGGTACATTCATTCATTTTTTTTTTTTTTTTTTTTTTTATACATTATCTAAACTAAATATCTCATTTCCTGTATACAAATAAAAATATCTTTTCACTTGTTTGAAAAAAATTTTTTTCCAAGTCCAATAAAGTTAAATTACTATGAATTCTAAGAAAAAGATCAAACGTTCCTTCTTACATAATAGACGAATGTCTATATATTAATACGAATTAACTTCTTGGGTAAGCTGTTTTCAATAAGCAACTAAATTTCAACAGCTTTGCGTAGATTCATCTTAATGAAATTGATTACATATACGCACGTGTAGAAGAATGAATTAGTGAGAAGTTGACTTCCTTGTCATCATTTATATCTTCAATGGCTTCTCAGTAATTTTTTAGTCACCCCGCCGTATGAACGTTATATAGAAGGGGAGGGTCTTTAAAAAGAATTTGTAGGTCTAACGGTGTACACTTATATTAATACCAATTTAGAGGCTTTGCGTGAAAAATATATATATATATGTGTGTCCCGGAGGATAGAATAATAAGTGAATCAGCATATATACATAAAGGGAAACAAAAAAGTTCACAAGATCATCTTATGTTCTTATGGCTACCTTTTAAAACCTTTCAAAAGAAATCCATTCATTATTCCTTAATTTAAATAACGATTTTATTTAAATATTAATATTGATATTGTGACTTATGTTGCGTAATGGAAAAATTATTCATAGAAATTATGAACTACTGGAATTCTAAATTTACACTTAATAATATAAGGATAATCAACTCAGGCAGTATATGGTATATAGTTACAGTTGAACATAAAAAGAGCAGCGCATATACGAACCTAAGAAAATCGAATAGTAAGATAAGTTAAGAGAAAGATGAAAAAAAAAAATACTTAATTAGACTTGATGGAAATAGGATATTACGAAGTTCCTAAAGAGATTCGTTGGAAAAAAAGTTTTTTTTTTTGTTGAATCAAGTAGGAAACTACACAATTAAATGAATAATAAATGTCTTTAGGCATCTTAAAGTTGTTATATGTAACGATACGAAGAAATTGTTTCTTAAAAAACTTTCAATGCTTATACTATAGTTTAAAAATACATATTATTATGTTATTCTAAAGGCAAATAAAAATAGTGCTATAATGTCATAAAAAATTTAGTCACATTTTTTATTATGTCGTATTACCATTTTATTTATAATGTATTTAAATATCATTCTTATAATATATTTACAAAAATAATTATTTATAATTTTTACCAATCCATTTGCTAAAGTGTTAAGTACATTTATACATTTAAAAAAATACATATTTACATGGATATGCTGTAATTATCTTACAACTAAAGTTTTAAGTGCTTTAATTGAGTAAAGGATAAAAGCAATTAACATACTTAAATATATTAAACAGTGAAATATGAACGCTTGCACTAAAAGATATGGTAAATAGAAAATAAATATCGATTATCATTATTTTATTTGTAGTTACCTAATTAAATTATCTATTCATAAAAATGAGATATTTATAATTAATAAGCGAATTTAAAAAATGTTTGATTAAAGTCAATAGTAAAAGTAATAAGTGAAATAAATTCAATTTAACATTTTTAAATTTATTGCTATGTTCTTATTACTTATTCTTATAATACTATTTATATAAATCTATAATAATTTTAAACCAGTGGACTAAATTTAAACGATATATATAACGATACATAATACGATATATAAACGATATATAAACGAAATATAAAAATTTGAACATAATTTTTTTTATGCTTAAAAAGTTATTTATTAATTATTTACTTAATTATTGTAAAAATATTCGATTAAAACTTAGCTCCAAAGTATATAATATTGAGTAAAATGATATTTAGTTGTGGAGGGGGATGGGGGGGGGGTGTAATATACAAATCATTCGATACAAAGCAACTATTTTTGGAATTAGAATTATTCATTTTGTAATGTATTCTTTTCGTTTCGTATGAGAAATTACAATCATCTTGACAATTTTCAGAATGATAAGAAAAGTTAGTTGTTATTTCATGAGGTCGCTGTTGATATAGAACGAACCCAGATTATAAATGGTAAACAGAGCATAATGTAATTTTAAACTCGTCTGAAAAATAGAGATCTAAGATTAATCGGATAACTGAGCGTCGCACAATATAGTAATATTCGAAATTTACCCGGTAGGCTTAAATTGC